GGAAGGGGAAACAAAGGAGGAGGCTACAATGCTTGATAAGAAATGTACTCATTATCTTGCCCATGTAATTGTAACCCCTCTGTACAGTATTTTCACAATTAAAAAAATGCAAAAAAAAACCCAACTGGAAGTGGTGCTGTGGCTCAAGTGGCAGAGTGCTAACCTTGAGAAAAAGAAGCTCAGGGACAGTGCCCAGGCCCTGAGCTCAAGCCACAAGACTTCAAAAAAAATGAATACATGCTTAAGCATCAAATTAAATGTGCCTGATTTTATAGTTTCCACAGTTTCAAGAGATAACTTGCTTACAAATAGCCAATAATTCCTAGCTAGCAAAGGTACTCAGTTGAGGAAAGTGGAAATAAGGTTGGGCCCATGTGTTTGATGCTGACTGATCTTGAGGGAAGTATGGGAAAAATATGTGCTGCAACCATCTCTTCTCAGACACAGTTTAGTTCTGACTCCTTTTGGCAATGGCCTCTGTTCAAGAAACTTGGGAAGCCATAATTCAAAGGGGCATTCACAGAGACCTATGGGGAGAACATGGAAAAGAATTTAAGATATGGAAAGGATTTTATAACTAATAGGTCACTCAATTGGAAAGGTAAACTTGTTTTCCATTTCCATAAGAAGCTACTTTAAAATTATGACTATGTTTGTATTTTTAGTATCAGAATGGAGGAGAGATGTTTCTGAGAAAATGAACAGGTCAAAGATTATTGGGAGAGAACTAAAGAAAGTAGTAAGTAACCAGACATTAAATAATGTCAAAGGAATAACAATGCCAAACTTAAATCTATTACAGAGTTGTAGTAATGAAAATAGCTTGATATGAACATAAAATCAGGCTTGAAGACCAATAGAACAATAGAGTAGAAGACCTAGAGCCATTTAACATTCATTAAGGGAGACAAAAACATAGTGGTAGAAAGACAGCCTCTTCAACAAATGGTGCTGGCAAAACTGGATATCCACATGCAGAAAGCTGAAACTAGATCCTTATATATCACCTTACACCAACATCAATTCAAAATGGATCCAAGACCTCAATATCAGACCTGAAACCATGAAACTATTATAAAAAGAGTAGGGGAAACATTAGAGCTTCTGGACACAGGTAGAAATTTTCTGAGTAAAGATCCAGAAGCATGGCAAATCAAAGAAAGACTTGAAAAATAGGACTGTATCAAACTAAAAGTTTCTGCATGGCAAAGGACATATCCAACAAGCTGATTTTACCAGCCACATATCAGATAATGGCCTAATATTCAGAATATACAGAGAACTTAAAAAATTAAGCTCTTAGAAAACTAACAACCCAATTAATATATGGGCTAAGGGACTAATAAAAGTCTTCTCAGAAGAAGTAAAAATGGCAAATAACATATGAAAAAATTCCCAACATCTCAGGCCATAAAGGAAATGCAAATCAAAACGGCACTGAGATTCCACTTCACCTCAGTTAGAATGGCTATTATCAAGAAAACAGCAATAACAGATGCTGGCAGGCATGTGGCCAAAAGGGATTCCTAACACCCTGTTGGTAGGAATATAAACTAGTTCAACCACTCTGGAAAGCAACATGGAGGTTCCTTAAAAACTTAAACATAGAATTACTCTGTGATCCAGTAATTCCACTCTTGAGTATTAACTCAAAGGATTAAAAGCCAGGATAGAGTAAAGCCACTAACACAACCATGTTTACTGCAGCAATATTCATCACAGCCAAATATGGAATCAGCTCAGATGCCCCTTAGTAGATGAATGGATCAAGAAAATATGGTGTGTGTGTGTGTGTGTGTGTGTGTGTGTGTGTGTGTGTGTGTGTGTGTGTGTGTGTGTGTATACACAAATGGACTTTTGCTCACCCATTAGAAATAATGATATTTTACTATTTGTAAAGAAATGGAAAGGGCTGGGAAGGTGGCTCAGTGGTAGAGCACTTGCCTTGCATGCATGAGACCCTGGGTTTGATTCCTCAGCACCACATAAGCAGGAAAAAAAAGCTGGAAGTGGTACTGTGGCTCAAGTGGTAGAGCGCTGGCCTTGAGCTGAAGAGCTGAGGGACAGCGCCCAGGCCCAGAGTTCAGGCCCACGACTGGACCCCCACCCCCCCAAAAAAAAGAAATGGAAAGACCTGGAAAAGTTAAGTATAGTAAGTCAGGCCCAGACTGTGTAATTCCTTAGGAAGGCAAAGTCAAAGCTCAGTAAATTAAGACATCAAGAAGAAAGTACATGAAAGGGATAGGGTAGGTTGGGGTCAAGGGGATGGGGTAAACAAATGAAAAGGATAAGAGGAGGAGAATGCAGTCAAGAATCCAATATATATCCTACAAAATTAAGAAGAATGAAGGAAGGAGTAAGTAGGGGAGGGAGGAGTACGAATATTGAAAGGAGTAACATTGATCAAGATATATTGTATATTGTATTGCTTTGTTAAATAACAACTCCTTTGTACTACTTAAAAGATAATAAAATAAGCCAGGTGCTGGTGGCTCATGCCTGTAATCCTAGCTATTCAGGAGGCTGAGATCTGAGGATCCTGGTTTGAAGCCAGCCCAGGCAGAAAAGTACCTGTAAGACTCTTAAATTAACCACTCAAAAACTGGAAGTGGCACTGTGGCTCAAATGGTAGAGCACTGGCCTTGAACACAAAAAGAAACTCAAGGACAGCGCCCAGGCCCTGAGTTCAAGGCCCACAACCAACAACAACAACAAAAAAAAAAGATAATAAAATAATTTTAAAAACTTGTAGTACCCAGCTCCACAAAAGGAAAACAAAACAAACTAACACAAGAATTCTATACCCTAAAAATATAGTGACATGCAAGATAGAACCACAGTTCTAAGATTGGAAATGCTAGATTTCTTTATACCAATTTTGGTATTTTAGAAAAATGAATGGTTTAGTTGTTATTATGCTCTTTATCAAGGAGAATAGAAAGGCTGCAGCTTACTTTCTGTGAGCAGTGGTAGGCCAGGAACAGAGTTGGCAATCATTAAGCATTAGTTGAATAATTGGCCAAATAAAATGGAGAAGAGAAATAGAATGCTAGAAGTTGTGTTATAATGACAAAGTGAATTTGACATCAATATTCATCAAATTAATGGGACAAATATTAGAAATAAAATATCAAAAAGGTTACTCAATCATAATAAGAAGCAACCCAAGCTATTACAGTGAAGTAAATCATGCTGGAGAACACAAATTATGGTGCAAATGTATCAGTATATTAGACAGTTGATATTTTGGATTATCCTTGTCACTTTGTGTTAGGAAAACAACATTGTAAAGTTGAAGCAAATTGACCTATGTGATAACAACAGTGTGAAAAGGGATAAATAATCAAAATTACAGGAAGTATGTATAGAGGAAGTGAAAATGATTGCCTTTCTTGGGCTAATCTTGTGTAAGTGATTAGACTATGATATAGTCCATGCTTCACAATGGAAACTTGTTGCTTCTTGTATTACTCTTTGATTATGAAAGGGAGAAAATCCTCTCACCCCACCCTACCACCAACCCTCTTGCTTAGATTATCCTTTTTTGGGCCTGGAATTCTGTGACCAGACTTGAATAAAACAAATGCTTCTACATAAATGTTGACTTGCACAGTGATACTCACCCAAAGCCTATAGCCACCCAGTAGTTCCTGACCCCCTGATGGGGCCCCACCATTGGCAGGATGTCAGGGGAGTAGGTGATAGGACCATTGATGATATTGATGATGTCAGCATTCTTCAAGACTGGAACCATCTCCATGGCCATCTCCACATACTCCATAATACGGTCTAGATCAGACTCAAAGAGTTCCTTCCCAAAGCCTTGAATGACATGGCATGGTGTCACAGGTGCAATGACAATGCCTTTACATCACTGAAGTCTCTGAAACAGTCCCCATCTATAGACACAAGTAGTGCACTACTGTCTTCTCCCTCCTCCTTTTTTTTTTCTTTTTTCTTTTGTCATTGTGGGGCTTGAACTCAGCCTAGGCACTGTCCCTCAGCTCTTCAGCTCAAGGCGAGCGTGCTACCTCTTGAACCACAGCGCCACTTCCGGTTTTCGAGTGGTTTATTGGAGATAAGAGTTTCACGAACTTTCCTGCCCTGGCTGACTTTGAACCGTGATCCTCAGATCTCAGCCTCCTGAGTAGCTAGGATTACAGGCGTGAGCCACCGGTGCCCCTCTCACTCCTCCTTTTTTTAAACCTAAACTTGTACAAAGGATTACTCACTCTGTTACTGAGAATGATATTATCATTCTTGAAGTAAAATCAGCTTTTTAATTAATAAAATTTAAATTTCTATATATTGTTTCTAATATTTAACCCATCTACATTAAAAACTAATTAGGTTTGTCAAGAGATATTTTTATTCTTCAATTGACCACAAGATCCTGGTTTATCCATGTAGGTTAAGAGCAAATACAACCAACACGCTGAGAAAAGTAGACTACTGTCCACAATCTTCTGGGCCCAGGCATGGGGGTATGCACCTGTAATACAGCTATCCAGGAGGCATGAGTAGAAGGATCACACTTTGAGGTTGGCCCATGTGACAATTCCTCCAAAAGAAAGAATATAACATGTGAAATTGTTAGGACCAAGTCAAAGTTAAGCAGATAACGTATTGATTAGACCAAGGAAGGAGGAAACTTAACTGGGACAAACAAGTCCCAAGGAACCTGAGATACATAGGTACAGACTCTAGGAATAGAACAAGACTGCTGCGGTCTGACAGTTATTGAAACTTGACCATTTGATTAAGAATAGGGTCAAATGTTAAATTTCAAAAATAAAGGCTTAAGTAGCTAATTAAGCACAAGGGTGGGTGAGCTAGGCATCTGCATTCCAAAGGAATATCTCATCACTTGGCGATTTGGGTAGCTAATGAAATTGCTCTCCACAGTTTGGGGAGGTAATGTTTTCCTAGGGCTGTCATGTTTGTGTTTCTCTAGAGCAAAGCCCTCCTAGCTCACAACTCCACTGAGCCAGCTACCTGCTCTTCAAGGGAGGACTTGCCCCACCTCCAGGCCTAGAAGCTAGGAAAACAGCTCCCATCTCCTGCTTAGGCACCAAGATGTCTTCAAGGATGGCTTATTACATTTGTGGATAGCTCTGGCTTATTGCTTTGATGCCATTTGTAATCACTAACTGCTAGTTATGCTTTTGTAATTTGCTTCTTGGTCAATTATGAAACTGCCACTGACCACTTACAAATGCTGTTCTCCCCCACCTTCCCCCACCCATAGATCCTTTAAATACCCTGAGCTATTTGACTTTATTGCTGGTCTTCACTGTCTCAATATAGTGGAGGTCAGCCACCATAGCTAAAACAAAAATAAAAACAAAACAAAACAAGAAAACGATTCCTAGCCCTATTGATTGAGTGTTGGTGACTCCTTTCACCAGATCATGGGTTGAGTCCCAGGGCTGGTGGGACTCAACCCATGATCTGGTGAAAGGAGTTAAGCAGACTAGAGACCCTACCTAAAAATAGCTGAAGCAATAGAGAGATTGAAGTGTGATATGTGGTATAACTCAGATAGTAGAGAACCTACCTAGCAAGCTCAAGGCCCTTCATTACATCCCCAGTACTGAAAAACAACAACAACAACCTCTCTGCCCATTCTGATGATTTTTCCACACAGCCACTGGCCAGCTTCTCCTAGCACATCAAGGCTACAGCACAGTAGCCTTGGCTACCCAGTGTGCCTTTGGTCCCATGGCACTCTTACTCAGGGATACCACAAAATCTGGCTCTCTCTTTAACTGGGACTTGCTTCAATCTTATTCAGCATTTATTTGGAAGAAAGGCTGTGGCATGGAAAAGAGAGTGAGCCTTCCTCACTCTGAGATCAGGCGCAATTCCACCCTGGCTCAAAAGTGCAGGACCCACTCAGCAAAATCCAAACTCTGTAGACTCTGAAGGAGGCAGTTAGTGATCACTTTCTGTTGGATTCATTTTGCATCCTTAGTTGCTTATTAAAGTATAATTCTAGGAAGCATCATTCCCTCTATTTTTTTATATTTCCCCAAATATTTAAGTATCCTAATGAACTTTCAACTAGATTTATATGTTAGAACCAGAGGTTCTCCCCAGGCAACCCAATTCTTAATCTGGTTCTTTGGAAATGTTTCCTGAAAAACAAAACCTAGCCCATTTCCCTTATAGAGCTTGAAAAAGAAATGATCACTGCCCCTGCTCCAGGATCTAGCCTGAACCTTTCCCATTTATGTTCCTTGGAAGTACTTGGTTTGTAGTATGAAATTGCTCAGCTGTTAGAGACTGCTAGGATTTCCTTCTTAGAAGGACTGATAGCCTGTCTCTGCTACCTGTGTGGAGCCAACTGCAAAAGCACAATAGTAGCTTTGTTCAGATCTTGAAACTGGACCAAGTAGACAGTGAGCAGATCAAGAAAATCAAAATGGGGAAATAGGTGGTTGATACAGGCATGTAAAGATGCCCTGAGGCTTTCAGAACAGCTCCCACAGGTTTCTTCAGCTTCTCCACTGCCAATTGCATCTTTTCCCTGCCTCAAGCCCTGCCTCTGCACTGTCCCAAGTGTCTGATGGTATAGGATAGTGGGCCTGTTTTAATCTATACCAGACCCCCAGCTGTGAAGATGATGAACACATGTGTCAGACCTATATAAGATATGATTTGCTGAACCCACCTGGAGGGACTCCGCTGGTAACCCAGGAGTCCTGAATTTTCATTTTCTCCTGACTTTCATATGGACCCAATAAAAGCCCATCTCTCTCCTGCCGCAGGTAATAGGATCCTTCCAGATCTCGGATCACAGGGAGTTCTTGCTTCAAAGCTTTCACTTCAGGTATAGTTGATGTAATGATATATTGATGTTGAACTGGGATGAGAGGATGCTCCAGTCCAATCATTTTACCTACCTCACGGGCCCAAAAGCCTTAAGGAACAACAAAAAAAAATTGAAAATGTTACCACACCTGTAAAAATACCTTATATAACACTGATTGGAAATTTATACTTAAAAACATCTAGAAGCCTTAAGTACTCTGTGAAGTTGAAAGAAGACTATAAGAAACTTTATTTTTGTTTCAGTGCTAGAAATCTAATCTAGGGCTTTGTATATACTAGGCACTCTATTACCTGAGCCATAGCTCCCCGGAACATTTTGCCTTTTAGTTATTTTTCAGATCGGATCTTAGATATTTTGCTCAGGGACAGCCTCAGATCTTAATCCTCCTACCTCTCCTTTTTGGGGTAACTGGGATTACAGTTCCATATCATGTCCAGTTTGTTTGTTGAGATGAATTCTTGCTAAATATTTTGCCTACATGGGCTTCAAATCACCATCTTCCTTATAGTCTGCCTTCCAAGTAGCTGAGATTACAACTATGTACCACTCATTTCTGGACCCCTGCCCAGAGTTTTGAAGATGTCTACAACATAAGGAAACTTCATTCTTGAAAAAACAGTTTTTCCTGGTCAGGCACTGGTGGCTCATAACTGTAAGCCTAACTACTCAGGAGGCTGAGATCTAAGGATTGTGGTTTGAAGTCAGGAAATCTGTAAGACTCCTATATCCAATTAACCAGAAGGAAAATGCAGGGGGAAGCGGGTGGTTAAGGACAAAGTGAAGAAGGTATGGCTCAAATGGCAGAGCATTATCCTTGAGGAAAAAAAAAGTACAGGGACAGTGCATTGGCCCTGAATTCAAGCCCCAGGATCTGCACAATACATAAATAAATAAATTTTTCCTGTAAGATGAGCAGGGAAGAAACCAGGTGTCAGTGGATCATATATGTAACCCTAGCTATTCAGGAGACAGAAAGTCGAGAATTGTGGTTCAAAGAACAGGCAGGAATATCTACCAAACAAAGAAAAAGTTGGAAGTAAAGCTGTAGATCACGTGGTAGAGCCCTAGCCTTTCATGAAAAGCTAAGTGACAGTATCCAGGCCCTGATTTCAAGCTCCATTACTTGTACAAAAACAAAACTAGTAGAGATGAAAAAGTATTTGAAAGAAGAAAAAGAACAATCCACAAAACAATAAAAAAAATATCAGAGGAACCACAACAAGGGAAATTGGGCTCATCAGTAAGTAAGCAATTTCTAAAACAATGTCTTTCTCATGTTATATCATTTTCCCAATACTGAACTGGCTGGGAAGGTTGTGGCCAGAAGACTCTTGATTATTTCTCACACTGGCACTTCAGTACCCAGACAAGGGTACTGGTCCAGAGAAACAACCAAGTTAGATATACTGTAATCACCACAGTGATTCTATGTTGCAGAAAGACTTTTAGAACTCCGGGACACCTTACCTGGTCTGAAGATATTTTAGAATCTAAAATGATAAAACTAATGATTATTTGCAAGGTTGTGGTGTTGCTTAGTTCTGTGTGATTGTCTATGTGTCATCGTCTTACGTTTTTGCTAGTACTAGGGTTTAGACTCCGGACCTTGAGCTTGTCTGGCTGGCTCTCTCTCTACCAGTTGAGCCATACCTTCAACCCAACTTTTTGCTGGTTATTTTGCAGGATTGAGTCAAAAAATTCTTTCCTGGATGGCCTTGGGCTGTCATCCTCTAGGTCTCAGTCTCCATAGGCACCAAGCAGCTCCCCCTCCTCCTCTTTTTCTTTTTTTTTTTTCTTTCTCTTCTTTTTGGTATCTAATCAAGAGCCCTCTATTATGAAATTGAGAGCTAAACAAAGAATCATTTATTAGTTAATCTGGGAATGCAGATTATGTTCTTTTATGAGTCTAAGTTTGTTCCTATTTTAACATCCAAACCTTATCCCTAAACATTATTGGTTGCTTGGTTTTGGCTTATAGTTAAGTTGGTCATGCTCTTATAACGATCTTAGAGATGTCTGCCCATGAGGGACTTCTCAAATGAAGAAATAAAAATGGCAAAGAAACACATGAGGAAATGTTCATCATCCCTGGTGGTGAAGGAAATGCAAATAAAGACAACCCTGAGATACCACCTTACCCCAGTCAGAATGTCCCAAATCAGCCAATGACAAATGCTGGAGGGATGTGGAGAAAGAGGAACCCTATTACACTGCTGGTGGGAATGTACACTTATACAACCACTTTGGAAAGCAGTCTGGAGGGTCCTTAGAAAGCTAAAGATTGACCTCCCTTATGACCCAGTCATACCACTTCTAGGCATCTATCCTGAACAACAGGAACCAATATACAATGACACGTGCACCTCCATGTTTATTGCAGCATTGTTCACAATAGCTAGGATATGGAAACAACCCAGATGCCCCACCACAGATGAATGGATCCAAAAATTGTGGTATCTATACACAATGGAATATTATGCAGCCATTAGAAATGACAAAATAATGGCATTTGCAGGGAAATGGATGGAGCTAGAAGGAATCATGTTGAGCGAGGTAAGCCAAGAGCAAAGAGACAAACGGTACATGGTCTCCCTGATAAGTGGATGCTAAATCCAAAATGTTAGGTGATACGACAAAACTAACAGGACTTAAGAAACAAAGAACTCCCACTCATCTGGTTGAACCACTACTAAATATCCCCATGCTGCTGATCACATGTATGGTGTATAACATGTGAACACCGTTATATCTTATAGACTGTGATAGACAATATGCTCCAGGAAAGTTAGAATGAACTTGTGACTTTAAATGAGCATCATTATTCCACAATACTGTGAAATTCAGGAAATTATGTAATTGCTTAATCACAATCAAAAAAACAAAAAGAACCTCGGGAAAGTAGGGAGGGAAGGGATGGTAGGGGGAAAACAATGGAGGGGGTAACAATGTTCAATAGGAAGTGTACTCATTACCTCACTCATGTAACTGTAACCCTCTGTATAGTATCTTTACAATAAAAAAAGAAAAGAAAAGAAATGTCTGCCAATTTGTAAACAGGAAATCTAATCTACAATCATCAGAGCTATGTGTCCCTTTTTAATATTAAAGGTAATTTATTTTTTGTTATAGGAAGATATGCAATGCTCAGGTTAGGACTTTGTAGAAAAATAATAGTAAAACCACACATTCTAGTTATATTCACTAGAGCAATTTAAATATAAGTAGTCAAAAATATTTAGTCTAGCAATTCTAACTACTACAGGATCCTCAATATACTTGTTTCAATTAAAAACATGAATTGAGAAAAATAAATTCTATCCTTTTCAAACACATTTACAAATTTCTGAGTTTAATTGCTTGCTTATTAATGTACTTCATCATAACAATAAAATAGAAATGTTTGCATAACTATCAAATGAGTATATTACTCATTTGATACCCATAGCAAGCTCTATATTGTTTTACCCTTTGGCATTAGTGACTAAGCCATTTTCTTCCCTAAGAGGTAGTCAGATTAGCCTAAAGCTAGCCAAGATTACACTTTATTTCCTGTGTGATCACTAACCCACTAAATTCAAAGCAAAGAGACACGTATGGAAAAAATCATGCATTAGTACCTGAAAAGCAACTAAAGAGCCAATAAAAATGACCACTGGAAATGACTTCCATTTTAAAAACTACAGTGATCAGTAGAAATGAGGTTAAAATAAAGAGTCGAGTTTTATGAAAAAGGGCAGCTCTGCAAGATGTTTTATCTGGCAACAATGATGCTTTTATCAAATCTAGCAATTATTTTTGATGGAACACTGGGTTTCATAATAGCATAATCAATCACATTTCTGATTTACCATTTTAGTAAAATAAAATTCTTAGGTGAAATTTTCAGGGTTATCTCAGGTTTAAGAGGAAAATTGGAAATGGGGTCAAAAGAAGCCACCATCACACAGAACAAAGGTTTGCATCTCATAACAGCACCTCCCAGGTTTCCTTGCTATACCCGAGGAAGGGATAAAAATGAAGTCAATTTTGAAAGATGTGGCTGCTAAAAGCAAGTTAGATATTGCATAGCAAGAGTTGAGCATTAAAAACTTTAAGGCAAGGAGATATGACAAAATAAACAGGACTCAAGAAACAAAGGACCTCCACTCAATTTGTCGTATCATTTCTAAATGACTCCATATTCTTGACCACATATATGGTGTATGTATGCATGTGTGTGTATATATATATATATACACACACACACACACACACATATATATATATATATATATGCACATCTTAGGGAAGGATACAGAATCAGAGGGAATGGGAAAATGTATAACAGAGGGCCCCATCAGCTGCACTGGACATTGATAAAAATGAACTAAGTAACTCAGGGGCAGGGATGGGAGAGAGGGAATGAGAGGGAGAGGGAACAGCTTACATTAAAAAAAATGTATATATGTATATTTCTTCTACCAGATGTAGAAGAAATAGTTGTATTGTCAAAGCTCTTAGAATTTACAAATGTTATAGACCATGATAATGACAATTTGCCTTGTGAAGGTTAAATTGTGTTTGTAACTTTAAGTATCACTGTCTCACGATACTGTGAAATGTATGTAATCACTTAATCTCAATAAAAAATTATTTTTAAAACTTCCTTAGGTTTGCTTATTCCAGAATATACTCACTATAATCTCTTACAGAAATGCCTTTTCAACAATGTCTCTCAAAGGACATTTGCAAATCAAGCAGTAAAATTTAATATACAGTTTCTCAGTTAGAGAGATATCTCCGTGTTAAAAAGAGCACATGCCTATCATGTGCATGATCCAGCACTAACGGGAAAAAAAGAAAAAGGAAGGGCAAGGAAATATAGCCCTTAAACCTCCACCCAGATCATCTGAATTAGAATCTTTTTGAAGCCCTAGAAATATCCTGAGAGGATTCTTAGGCACACAAGCATCATAAACAAACTCTTTGAGAAGCCAGCTTACCAGAAGAATGGGTGATAGATGGCATTAGGACAAAAAAAAATTATCTTAAGGCTGCTACCAAGCAGCTAAGATGACCAGATTCTAGTGTCTCCTGGACCAGAGTACAAACCTACAAGGAAATAATGATCATTATAATACCTATTTTTTAGTGCTTTCTACATGCTAAGCCCATTTACTACCCAAATTACCTTTTGGGAATGGCACTATTCAGCCCCCTTTACAAACTGGCTATTTCCCCCAGTCATAGGTTGGCAAGGCATGTGTCTCTGACTCAGAGAGGCCAGGACCCTGGAGAATGGCAGGCACATCAGCAGCCCTTACAGTTTTAACCATTTGATTATACTTCCAAGTCTATAACCTGGTTACTTTATGTCCATCTCCAAGCTGGCCTGTGGACCTTGCCTGAATATGTGAGGGAAAGTGAATTCCTGGAGTGGCTCTGAGGAGTATTTCAGCTGCTGCATGCTCAAGTCATGTGGATTTTCTTTCCTTATCTTTTCTTTTTCTTTCTTTCTTTTTTTTGTGTTGCCAGTAATGGAGCTTTAACTTGCAGCCTTGAGTGTTCATTTGGGTTTTTCACTCCCAGCTGGTACTCTACCATTTAAGCCATGCCTCCAGTCCCACCTTTTGCTAGTTATTTGGAAATAAGAATCTGACAGATTTGTCTGCCTATGTGAGCTCTAAATCTCGCAGCTAGCATTTTAGATGGAAGCCAGCACATGATAGGGTTTAAGTGTTAAAAAAAAAAAACACTTTAAAGTTCCTTTCCATTAACTCCAATTCTAAAGGAGAGCATATCCAAAGTTTGGCCCCCAATTTCTGAAGTTTATCCTGTGGGAAGCCTCTCTGTTCCAGATAAGATGTCTTAAAATACGCTTCCTCGCCCCCCCACTCTCCTCCCATTAGCTACTCATATGTAATCAGTTATCATTTTCTCCAATGGAAGAGAAGAGATAGAGGAGTAAAAGGAAAAGAAAAGATGATGGCCAGAGATCTGATGGGAATGAGCTAAGAATTGAGAACTGAGGCAACGTAATCCGTACAACTTCTAGCAAGATGCTACCTGAAACTGGAATAATAGAATCTGGCTATTGTGATAGATTCTAAACACAGAAAGGAAAAAGAAGCCTCACTTGGCAAAATACAACCTGGAACAGAAGTAAATGAAGAATTGAAAAAAATACAAATTGTTTATTGATCTCAAGGACAGCATGGAGTCACACACCAAGGGCAAAGTCATGGAGGTAAACCTGAAGCCAAGGGCATGGCTCAAGTGATAGAGTGCCTGCCTAGCAAGACTGAGACCCCAGAGTCCAATCCCCAGTTTAACACGAACACTGTGTGTTTCAGAAAGATATGATGCTCACCTGCAGCATTCACAATTCGATTTGCTCTTATAGATCCCTGTAGTGTTTCCACATCCCATGTTCCATCTGGCCTGGGTTTCAGGGAAGTCACTGGCGCAGGATACTTTAACAGGGCACCATATTTCCTAGCTCCAGCAGCCAGGGCCATGGTTAGAGAATAAGGATCAATGTGACCATCCCCAGGAGTATACAGTCCAGCTAAAATCTGAATTATGAAAGAGTCAGTGCTTAAATAGATATATACCTATGACTCTGTCTAGATACATTCTATAGCAAATATCTGACAACACTGGGCTTTAAGAGTCCATCTTGGGGGCTGGGTGTGGTGGAACATGCATGTAGTCTTAGCTACTCTGGAGGCAGAGGTAAGAGGGTCATGGCTGAAGGCTAACCCCAATGAAGTTGATATGACAGGAGGCATGGCTCCAGTGGTCCTTTCCTAGCAAACATGAAGTCATGAGTTCAAGAACCAGGGTAAAAAGTGCATGTCAGTGAGTCAGTGAGCCAGCCACTAGTGACTCATGCCTGTAAATCCTACCTGTTCAGGACACTGATATCTAAGGATGGCAGTTCAAAGCCAGCCCAGGCAGGATATTCCATAAGATTCTTATCTCCAATTAGCCACCAGAAAAAAAAAAAGAGCTAGAAGTGGAACTGTGGCTCAACTGATAAAGCACCAGCCTTGAGTAAAATAGCTAAGGGATAACACCCAGGCCCTGAGTTCAAAGCCTGGTACCAGCATACACATACCAAAAAGGAGGAGGAGCAGGAGGAGGAGGAGGAAAGAAAGAGAGAAAGAGAAAGAAAGGAAGAAAGAAAGAGTGGAATGAAGCTTGCAGTTGTCTCTAATATCCTTTCTTCTTTTCTCCCATAGCAACACAACTCAGATGTTCTGTTCATTTGGACACATGGCCACTAAAATCAAGAAAAACTGTTTCTAGCCTTCCTGGAAACTACTAGTGCTAGCTGGTAGCTAAGACCATTACTAAATTCTGGCCAGTTGACAGGCAAATCAAAGTGCTATATAGCACCTTTTACAAATTGTCTTAAAAAGACATCTAGTACAATCTCTTTTTTGTCCTAGCCTCCAATGTCACATTAGTCCAAGAGAGACATATCTTTATCTGGAATGCAGACATAATGGCTGGAGCTCAAGCTGCCATCTTGGAAGAATAATAATCAAGTGTCACACTCCAAAAGTGATAGAGCAAGGATCTGGAAGATGAATGGTTTCCTGAAGTCTTCATGAAAAAGACTCACCATTCAAGCCCTGTAATGTTTCCGTGAGAGAGAAACTTCTATCTTGTTTGAGCATTATTAAATTGGTTTCCGATAGGTAAAGTCATGTCTAATCCTAACAAAGTCCACTATAATTTATATGTAATTGCTTAGTACTAGTAATAAATATACATGTATATCTGAAGTCTTGAAAATTTATGTTTTTCCAGTTAGTTACTGTGCTAGAAACGAAGGGTAAAACTAAGATGAAATGAACTGATAGACTGGAAAATATTATAATTAGGTCTTATCTATTCAACAAAATTCTTTTCAGTATCAAATAGAACAAGGAACTTTTGTGAAATATTTTGTGAACTATTTTTTCTGCATCTACTGAAATGATTGTGTGATATTTGTCCTCTACTCAATTACTGTATTATTATGATTGATTTTCTTTTTTTTTCTTTTATTTTGTCGGTTATGAGCCTTGAACTCTGGGCCTGAGCACTGTCCCTCAGCTCTTCAGCTCAAGGCTAGCACTCTACCATTTGAGCCACAGTGCCACTTCTGGTTTTCTAGTGGTTTATTGGAGTCTCACAGACTTTCTTGCCTGGGCTGGCTTTGAACCTCGATCCTTAGATCTCAGCCTCCTGAGTAGCTAGGATTATAGGTGTGAGCCAACGGCACCCAGCACAATTTATTTCCATAAGGTAAAATAACTCTGCATTCCTGGGATACCTTCCACTGGGTCAAATTGTAGAACATTTTTTTGTATGTTGCTAATTCATTTACCTAGTATGTCCTGGAGGATTTTTGCATATCTTGTTCCTGAGGGGCACAGCATTTCTTGTGATGTCTTTGTTTTTCATGTCAGAACAATGTGGCTTCATAGAACCCTTATTTCTTCTCTAATTTTGGAAGTTTTTGTGAAGGATTAGTGTTAACTCTTCAAATGTTGGGATGAATGTACCAGTGAAGCCATCTAGATCCAAACTTTGCTTTGTGGGAAGCTTTTGTTGCTTTAATGTTATTAACATTAATATTAATGCAACAAAATAATAGGCTTTATGTGACATGTTTATACAGGCATGGAATATACATTGATCATCATATTCACCCTGTAGGAATTTATTTTATTTTATTTTGGCAGTTCTGGGGCTTGAATGCAGGGCCTGGGTGCTGTCCCTGAGCTCTTTCAAGGAAATAGCATCTGCTTCCCTTAACAACCCAGCTGGAGCACCCAGGACATTCACACCAACCAGTGTAGTCAGAGGGCTAAGGTTTAAACTCTTGTTCTAGACCTTTCTAGACAGGCTACTTGGACTCACAATGTAAATAGTCTGCCTATGCTTCAGTTTTCTATTTAGTAATAATAGCTACTTTATAATATTACTGTACCAATTAAATGGAATTTCACATATAAAGGGCTTAACTTGGTCCTTGGTACATAAATGTGTTCTGTCATGTTAGATAGTGTTATTCATATTCAAAAAAGATGATTGGACTGAAAAGGTGGCTCAGTGGTAGAGGGTTTGCCTTGCATGCATGAGGCCCTGGGTTCGATTGCTCAGCACCACATAAGCAGAAAATGCCAGAAGTGGTGCTGTGGCTCAAGTGGTAGAGCACTCACCTTAGGCTGAAGAGCTGAGGGGCCCAGAGTTCAGGCCCCACAACCGACCAAAAAAAAAAAAAAAAAAGATGACTAACTAGTAGGGGAAAACCACCTACATTCCTTGTAGTGGATTATCTTAGGAATTTGTTATAAATATAGATCTATGCCTGGTACAAAGTCTGTAAGAGCAGTAATGTGCTAAGTGATAGAGAACATGACATAGAATGTCTTCAGTTGATTTCTTTAAAACTATAACTACCTTTCTAGAACAATCATATCAGGTTGTTTCTCCACTTTGATATGGGACATACAGTAATAGAAAGGTATGGTTTGTTAGGCACTCCTGGCTCATACCTGTAATCCTGATTACTCAGGAGGCTGAGATCTGCGAATCATGTTCCAAAGCCAGCCAGAGAAACAAAGTGTATAAAACTTCTATCTCCAATCAACCATCACCAAAACAAAACAAAAATGCCAGACGTGATGCTGTGTCTCATGCGGTAAAATGTTAACCTTGAGTGAAAAAGCTAAGGGACAGTACCCAGGCCCCAGTTCAAGTCCCAGTACTGGTACACACACAAACACAATCATTTTAAGCAGAAAATTAAGATTTTGCATTGCTTTTCCATATTTAACCTAGCATATATAACAGCTCATCTTGATTTACCCAAAACAATCATGTACTTTTGCCAATCAAAATGTGGGTATAAAGAATTTCCGCTTTTGGGCTGGGAAGGTGGGTCAGTGGTAGAGTGCTTGCCTTGCATGCATGAGGCCCTGGATTCGATTCCTCAGCACATAAGCAAAAGAAAAAAGCCGAAAGTGGTGCTGTGGCTCAAGTGGTAGAGCGCTAGCCTTGAGCTGAAGAGCTGAGGGACAGCACCCAGGCCCAGAGTTCAGGCCCCATGACCAGACTCAAAAAAAAAAAAAAAGAATTTCCACTTTTTATTTGTTTCTTAGAATGCCTTTCTAAGTCACATTAACAAATGGTAAAAATGACTTTCAGATGTATACCTTATTCATGTTGAGCAAAGGGAACATCTCCTGAATTTGTTCAGGTTCAATGATGTACTGCTCTGTTGCATGCCAGCCAGTCCGCGTCATCTGATATTTAAATTCATCTACCCTTACTGGAGTTGTAGCAATTCTGATACTGCCTGGTTGATGGAATCCCACCACCTATGATAATAATTCCAATGAAATACCATAAGTAAATTATTATTATTGTACTCAAACACAGTTCTCTAATGCAATGTATAAGGAAAGAAATTTACTATGCACTGAAAAGATAAGGGCATGAAATATTTGTATCTTACAAAAAAGACATTCATCCAACAACTGTTTACTAAATGTTCCTCTGTGCCAGACAATTCTCTAAGTCCCAGAATACTGAACAAAAGGCAAAGACCTTGCCTAGATTGAGTTGTTAGTGCATAGGTAAAGTCAAGACAGCTCCGTGCACCATTATAATAACTTAGACAAGTGCTTATGTGCATACTGAAAGATCATATGAAAAGAAAAAGACAAGCTGGGCACCAAAGCTTATACCTGTAACCCTAACAATTCAGGAGACTGAAATCTGTAATGAATCAAAGCTATCCCAGACAGAAAAGTCTGTGAGACTCCATCTCCAATTAGCCAGCAAAAAGCTGGACTGGAGGTGAGACTCAAGTGGTAGAACACCAGCATGAGCAAACAAGCTGAGCAAGTACAAGGTCCAAAATTCAAATCTTGGTACTGGCGGAGGGGCGGGGAGGGGGAAGGAAAGGAAAGAAGGAAGGAAGGAGATAGGATTGAAAGAGATTGTGAAATATCAAAATGTTGCGCTGCTGTGATTGTGAATTGAATAAAACATGCATTTGCCATTTATTGAAGTTCTTCCATTTGCCAACGCCCTGGGTTACAAAGATAAAAAACACAACCCTGGCCTCAAATTGCTCAAGATCTGTCAGGAAAACTAACCAGCCAAGAAACAATAGTTCTCTGGGTCAGATCAGAAAAGTGTTTGCACAAACACTGAGAGAACCCAGAGATGTTCTGCCCTGCTTGGGAAAGAGGGAAAGAGTGTCATTTCACACCAAGGCAATAACAACAAAGAAAAGGAAAGCAACAAAAAGGAAGAAACGGTGGTTTGAGAGAGCTCAGCATATTCCATTTAGTAAACATACTAACAGGGAGACACACGGCAAAAGAAAATATGGGAAAGGCATGCAGAGGTGAGCCAATGAAGGTCTCACACCTCAGGCAATGGACCTTCATCCTGCCAAATATGGGAAGCTATGTTTTCAGCAAGAAAACAGGATGAAAATGTAAGTATCCTTTAGCCTGAGCAACTCTGCCTGCCACTTCATTTTGCAAGTACAAGTCAATATGAAAAGGGATAAAAATAAAAGTAGAGGCTTTGAGTGGTGTACTTTTCAAAGTTGAATTTCAATCTGGCACTCCATTGTCAGATCCTATGCAATCCAATTACTTACAGACTCTCAGTTCTTAGCTTACAGATATAGTAACTGGCTAAAGATATTTTTTAAAGCTGCTTTTTATTCACTCTTCATCAAAAATATTAAAACTGGTTAATTACACAGGTAGTACACTTGAAATTAGGTTGATTTTAAAGCAGGTTTTAAAGCAGACTCCGGAGCTTCTTTAGCTTTCACTCTAGTTCCCTACCTCAGTTAACAGTACACACATCACTGGCATCAGACACACACAGCCACTTGGGGTGACATATCAAAACCATCAGACAGCTTAGCTATTAGACAATTCTAAGTTAAATTCACTTACCTGTCCAGTTTCTTCCTCCAGTTTCTCATAAAGCTTGATGCTATAATAATGTATTTTCTTCAAGTTTATTCCAGGATGAAAGTAAGTTGTTAAGCCTGCCTTAAAAGTAAAGAAGAAAGAAAATACATATAAAAATAACATTCTTAAAATGTCGATCATTTATCTTCTAAGCTATAATTTAGGGTTGCTAAGAAACAGAAAAGCACCAACCAATGCTTGGGATGAGGCCACAGTAGCAACAGCTTGAGTTCTGCAGAGCAAAAAGTTCGTGGCAGGATACTCAAAGAGCAAAACGTTCGTGGCAGGATACTCAAAGAAAGAGCAAAAAGTTCGTGGCAGGATACCCAAAGAGCAAAAAGTTCGTGGCAGGATACCCAAAGAAAGAGCAAAAAGTTCGTGGCAGAATACCCAAAGAGCAAAAAGTTCGTGGCAGGATACCCAAAGAGCAAAAAGTTCGTGGCAGGATACCCAAAGAGCAAAAAGTTCGTGGCAGGATACTCAAAGAGCAAAAAGTTCGTGGCAGGATACCCAAAGAGCAAAAAGTTCGTGGCAAGATACTCAAAGTATGAACCGAGGTACTGACACATGCATGAAGCACCTGAAAATTACTAGGGAAAGGGTTGCCTGGAGATTCAGAAATAGGATGAGTTTGATGGGAGAGTTAAGAATGTTTTCTACAGTTGAATATCCTTTATCTGAAATGCCTGGCACTATAGATGTTTTGGCCTCTAGATTTGGGATACGTGGTAAAGAAAGAGGTTGGCATAGTTGCATATGCATACATAATAAGGAACTTTTGGGATGGGACCCAAGTCTATGTGAAAAGAAATTCATGTAGGTTTCATATGTCCCTATACACACCTGAACTTTCAGGCCATTGTTTTTTGGTTTTGGTTTTGTTTGTTTTCGTGGTCCTAGGGCTTGAACTAAGCTTGGAAACTGTCCCCATGCTTCTTTTCGCTCAGGGCTAGCATTCTACCATTTTGATCCACAGTGGCTTTTTCTGAGTAGTTACTTGGAGATAAGGGTCTCACAGACTTTCCTGCCTGGGCTGACTTCAAACTACAATCCTCAGATCTCAGTAGCTAGGAGAATAGCTAGGATTACAGGTGCCCAGTTTCAGGCCATTGTATTTTATACAATATTTTAACTCATATGTGTGAAACAAAATCTGTATACACTGAACCACTGGAGGCCAGGTGTAGGATTTTTTTTTTTTTTTGCCAGTCATGGGGCCTGAACTCTGGGCCTGGGCGCTATCCCTCAGCTCTTCAGATCAAGGCTAGCATTCTACTACTTGAGCTACAGCACCGCTTCTAGCTTTTTCCGCTTATATGTTGCTGAGGAATCGAACCCAGGGCCTCATACATGAAAGGCAAGCACTCTACCACTGAACCACCTTCCGAGCCCCCAGGTGTAGGATTTTCTACCTTTGATCTCATGTCAGATCTCAAAACTGTTCTCCTTTTGGAACTCAGATTTTTAGATTAGCAAAGCTCAGTTTATGTTAGGAAGAATCTGAGTAAAACATGCAATGTGGGCTGCAGCCAGTGAACCATGGCTGCAGCCCCTTGACCAGCAAAGGGTTTCCCTTGATCTACTCCCCACCTTTCCCTTGAACAGAAGTTCTCTTGCCCTTTCCTGAAATTGCCTATTTTAAGAACTAGAAAACTCCTTGTAATTAGAGCCTGCTGAATAGGTTGAACAGACTTTTGTGGAAGCTAAAGCAGCTCCATATGCAATAGTGGCACCCCACAAGTATTTGTTGAATAAATGTGGATTAATTACCCTCTGGAAAAGATTTCTAAATATTAGGTATGCCAAGACTTTTTTTAAAGTGTTTGAAGATTATTTATTTATTTTGCCAGTCATGAGGCCTGAACTCGGCCTGGGTGCTGTCCCTGAGCTCTTCAGCTCAAGGTTAGTACTCTACAACTTGAGCCACAGCACCTCTTCTGGCTTTTTTTCCTGCTTATGTGGTGCTGAGGAATGGAACTCAGGGGCTCATGCATGCTAGGCAAGCGCTCTACCACTGAGCCACCTTCCCAGCCCCAAGACTTTTTTTTTTTTCAATTGTGGCAGTTGTAGTATTCAAAAAGAATCTAAGCAATGAAGCAAATTCTCTTAATTAAGTATCTAGGACCTCATTTTGCAGCTAATTTATCTTTAGAACAAAATCTGTTGAAAATAAAGTCTATTTAAGGATATTTATACAGTTCTTCCATAGTAGTATTGAGCATTATGGTTCTCCAAAGCTTGAAAACATTCCCATTAAATTTGCTAATCATCCTTTATGGGCCAGAATTCCAAGGATTCTTTTACTTGTTCAGGCATCTGGACATTTGCACAACTATGTTTTTCACATGCAAAAATAAAACTCCTAATTCAATTTACTAGTCAGGGCATAACAGCATAATACAGTGTAGTAGAGTTTAGAACACTAAGTCAGGCTTTCTGACTCATAGCTAAGCACCTCATCTTCTTCTACATTAAATGTTTGCAACCCATGGATGTTTGAGGTTTAATAACAGGGATTATATAACCTCTGTTTTCTGAACAAGAATCCCTGGCCTTCTGGATCCCAAGTTTGTCTTCAGTGTCTACCCTATCTGTTGATGAAATGGATAGTTACAAATACTGGTGTGAAGTTCTGATCACCACCATATGTACCTCTCCAGTGCCTCTCAGCCACATAACACCCAGGTGAAGACAGACTTCCAGAAAGCTCTATTATCCATCTAGACGTATCCATGCCATACATTCTCTTCTTCCCCACTCCCAAAATTAGGACCTAATGATCTTTCATCTGAAGGAATCACATGGATTCATTTTTGAAAAAGTCTTATTCCAAATATTTAGCCCAACAAGATGCAGGGCTCAGGAGGCTGAGACCTGAAGAATGGAAGTGTAAAGCGAACACAGTCAGGAAAAGTCTATAAGACTCTATCTCCAACTAATCAGCAAAAAGCTGGCCTGGAAACATGGCTAGAATGCAAAGTGGTAGAATGTCAGTACATAGACAGATAGAAGACAGATAGCTGATAAGTAAATGGATTTTAAACCTTTGAATAAGTTAAAAATTAATGAATCCTTTTAGCATGAATGAAGATTAATAAGAAGGAAAGCTGGAGTTAAAGTCATCAAACTAAATACAGCTAAACACTAAATACAGTGTAATGGATGGTGTCTAGTGGTACCAGTAGGAGTCCTAACAGTGTTCTCCCTAACAGTCCTCCCAGCTTCCAAGAACCTGCCTCAGAAAGCCCTGAGACAGACAGACCTAACTCACCCTTTATCAGTAGTTCCAAATCCACTCAAAGGTTTGAGAGTAACCACTAAAGTATGCATAGTTCTTTGTTTACTTGATATGTAAATATATATTACTATGTTAGTTGAGATTATAAAATGTGCAAAATCACTTGGAATGAGTGAGATACTTTAAGTAAATTTCCTGTTGTTTACTGTGTAGAAAAGTCTTTGAATATTAAGCTTATTAATCATATTCTAGGAAAAGCTATGTGATTCAAATACTTTGTTATTAAACTACATACACCAGATTACAGTTTGAATCCAGCGGTGTGATGGCCTGATTCTAGCTTTGCTGTACTTGAGGCTGGTTTTAATGGCTGGTGCTGTGGAAAGTGATCCCTGATCCCTCCCAGTGATTCATGGACCTAAGGAGTACAGTGTTGTCTTGGCCATGCTCACTTGGTACTTCTTCCTCCAACCTTATACAAAGGTTTCTACTGACACTTGGCTGTAATATTCCATGTTCTCTTGTCCATTAATGTTTGTGACAAATTGGACTACATTACTTCTTTGCATGTATTTTAAATAACTGGGGCCAGATCCCACTGAAACTCCTCATTCAGTAAAATGTTAAATGGTTTAAAAATCTATCTCTTGCAGACAGTCATGTTGACTTATCCCTGTAATTCCAGCTACTCATGAGGTATAGTAACATGGTTTGAGGTCAACCCTGACAAAAGCTTAATGAGAACCCACCACAATCAATAAGCTGAGCATGGTGGTGTGGGTCATGGTCTTGGCCATGTGGAAGGATCACAGTCTGAGGCTAGTATTAGGAAAACACCTCAGAGATCCTACCTGCGGCTCACTGCGTGAATCCTCATTTCAGACCCAGAGGCTCAATGCATGACTATTCCCAGCAAAACAACACAGAACCTCAGCTCACTTGCTTTGTGTTCCCTTTGCTTAAGGGAAAACTATTTTGCATAGTTAACTTTGATCAAGACACTGACACTTCAATATCTCTAAACCTGTTGTTGTTTTTTTTAAAGGAGTTGAGATTAAGAGTGTATTACTTTTTATCCATTGGGGATCTTTAAGAAGCCAAATCCCAGGGAATCTTGTAATCTATTCTAAAATATTAAATAAGTGTGTAAATGAAAAAATAAGTCATTCTAATATAAAGGGGGTGCTCTTCTCAACAATCAGGTATGGAGAGTTGTCAGCCATCCCTTTCCAATCTGTTTCTGTTGGCCTTGATTTCCTTCTGCTTGAATGTTCTTGGCTAGATAACCTCACAGCCCTTTTGCCCTGCCCCTTGCCTATTGCTCAGTGCTTCCTGGTCTCTGCTTTTACTGCCACCTCTTGGAAGAAACCTACCTATACCTTACCCTCTGTCATTCTGCACTTTGCTCTATGGCGCTGATTTCTCTCCAGCACTGCCTGGTGCTTTCTGAACTCCACGAAGCACCAGGGACCAGGGCTGTATGCTCCATTCTCCGCTGCATCCCCACTGGAACATTCCAGTCTAGTTTGTAGATTCATTCCTTCCTGAACTATACTGAAGCAGCCTACTGTCCTCTATGGCAAAGGTTTAAGAGAGCCATAGAGAAATACAAGCTGGCTCTGGGAAGTTGTGAATGGGAAGGAAGCCTGGTACCTGATTTGGGGCACAGGACTCTGTGGAGGCTTTACTTACTGCGTGCCAGGTGGATCCAGCCGTGAGCTCTGATTTCTCCAACAGGACCACATCTTTCATGCCTGCTTTGGCCAGGTGATAGGCCAGACTTACTCCCACACAGCCGCCTCCGATTATCACAGTTTCTGCCCTGTCTTTCCATTTTGTTTCTGTGGATGAAGAGAGCTTTTCCTTTCTGGAAGAATACAAATTTTAAAAGTGGTAACTATACCTAACTTTAAATGCAGCAGTGGTACTCACTAGATATTATGTTGAAAATGAACTATACAACTCATGGGTGAAAAGGGAGAACAAAAACTGGGAGAGAATAAGGGAAGGGGTGACAAAAAGAAATATACTCTTTACCCGACTTATGTTAACTGTAACCCCTCTATACATCACCTTCATAATAACAATTTAAAAAATTTACCCAACTTTGTTCTGATTAACGTGCTTTCCCAGCCCCACTCTAGTGATTGTGATTTGTGTTTGGTTAGCTAGACACCCAATCTCTGACTAGGCAACCTGGGTTGGGGAGAAAGAAACAGGTATTTGGTCCATCTCTTAATGACTCTGATGCTTCATATAGCTAAAGAAATGAAGAGTCTCTCTTTTTCTCTTCTCCCTCACCCCTTTTTCCTCGTGAAAGACTTCAATGAATATCTTTATTATGTTTTAAAAAAACACATTTAGAACTGTTTTGTTCTATGAAAAACCATAAGCATCATTAAGTTGAGCACCTATAACTCTCGGATCATCTTGGCCCTCTGATGCTTCCCAGGTGCAGTAGAATGTTCTGCCTCTCATTGTTCCCTTCACTTTGCACCTGCTTCTCTACCTTGCCTATTGTTACTGATTTTTCAGTAGTTAGCATTATCTTATGGATCTGTACAAGTAGCTGGGCTATAAGCTTCTTCTTTGTTCTCCTCTGCTTTTTTTTCTTTTCTAGACAGGCATTTGAACTTGGGGCCTCACCCTTGCTAGTCCAGCACTCTATCACTTGAGCCACATTCTAGCCACTTATGCTTTATTTTGGAGATACAGTCTCTACCTTTTTGTTCAGGTGACCTTTAAATATAATCCTCTCTTCTCTGCTTTATACATAGCTGGGATTACAAATATCAACTACCACACCTTGTCTCATCGTTTATTTTAATGCGAAATTGTTCCAGACTTAGCCAAAAAAGTATTAATTCAATTGATTCCTGGATGCTTTAGACATAATTAAAAAGATTCTTAAGAGCATTTCTTTATTTTCTGGTGACACAGTAAATTCCAGGATTTTTGCTTAACTGGATTTTTTAAATTTGTTTTGGTTTTTGTGCTGGTACTGGGGCTTGAACTTTGGGTCTGGGCTTTTCACCTCAAGGCCGGTACTCTGCTACTTGAACCACACTTCTACTTCCAGCTTTTTGTGGTTAATTGGAAAGACTCATGGACTTTCTTGCCTGGGATGGCTTTGAACGGCTATCATCAGATCACCACCTCCTGAGTAGCTAGGATTATAGACATGAGACACTGGGCCAAGGCCACCTTTACTGGGTTTTAAATTACTTTAATCATTTCCTTGAACTCAATAAGAAAACAGTAACATATATAGAAATTCACTACTTTGGATAGAAATTCATTCTTAAATGGACTAAAGATATCTTTGCTTGAAATCCATACAAAAATGACCAATGATAACAATTTTAAAGGTTCTTTTGCTGTGTGTTCAAAAGAGAGACTATGATTTATTTTAGTAGAGTGGTCAAGTGAAAGAAAAATAAAGAATGTCAGTTGGGTATCTTAGGATCAAGTCTCAGTCCCTATCTAACTGATCAACTTTCTTAGAGTGATGTAGATAAAGAATCTCAACACACCATCTGCCAAAAGGGGCCACAAGCATTGTCTAGTTCACAGTATTCCTTCTGCTCAGTATGCCACAGTAGGTTCTAGACTGTGCAATATATATTTTTTTTGGGGGGGGTCCAATCGTGGGGCCTGAACTCTCGGCCTGGGTGCTGTCCCTCAGCTCTTCAGTTCAAGGCTAGTACTCTACCACTTGAGCCACAGCGCCACTTCCGGCTTTTTTCTTTTTGCTGATGTGGTGCTGAGGAATCGAACCCAGGGCCTCATGCATGCAAGGCAAGCACTCTACCACTGAGCCACCTTCCCAGCCCCATGCAATATATTTTTAAAATATCTGGACAGTTGTATTAAATCTTTCTGAAGTAACAGACACCAAACTTGGCATCCTAGTATTCATGAGGCTGAAATCTAAGGATCATGGTTCAAAGCCCACCTTAGCAGAAAAATCCCTGTGAAACTCGTATCTTCAACTAATCACTCAAAAACTGGAAGTAGAGCTGCTCAAAATAGTATAGCACTATCCTTAAGCAAAAAAGCTCAGAGACAGCACCCAGGCTCTGACTTCAAGCCCCACAACCTATTAAAAAAATCCTTCTGGAAGTAGTTGAGAATATCCACACATATATTAAAAAATCAAATGGAGTAGAATCCATGGCAGAAAACAAAACAAAACAAACAACAATAAAAAAATGCAGGTCAGACCTCCATTTCCTATATTAGAAACTGAAATATTTATTTGGCCTCTTTGGCTAAGTGTTTGTGAAATCAAAGATATTGATGTTTTGGGATTGAGTCAATACAAATTATTCAGCCAAAATAAATTAGCATACTGCTTTTACATCAACTTTAATCTCAGAGCCAACCTGTATGAGTTAACAATACATGCATGACTTCCAACTATTGTAGGAATCATAGTCCTTACAGTGACCAAAACTCATACTCAACAATGAGTTCTGACTTGCAACATCATATTTACTATTTCCACTTACCTGTATGCTTTTGTTACAAATTAAACAAAGACATATACAAGTGCTACAGTAAAATATATTTTGAGGTAGTCCTAAATATTTGATTTGCCCAACTAGTTTCAAACAACTCAGCTCAAGCTATTAAATCTGTTTCCTTTTGTTATACATGACATGTCACTATGATGGCAAGTGTTGTGATGTTTTGAGGTGTGCAAAGCACTTTCACATAGATTCTCTTGTTTAGAATTCACAGTACCTTGGGAGTTAGGCAAAGCAGACCTGATTATCTCCATTTAATAGAGACACAGAAGTGTTGGGTCACATCCTGTGTAAGTGATGCAGAGGGAACTATAATTTGGTGGTTACTGTATTACTAGTACCAGACTAGCCTAGCACATCATAGCTACTAAATATATATCTATTCAATTGAAGGATGGATGGAATTCAAAAGTAGATCTTTTGATTCCAGAATTTAAGGGCATAGTATGTAAAATAATAATGGCGTCAACTGGTAACAATGTTAAGATGGTCTTAGCCAGTAGCCTTCCTTGCAGACTGAATAATCTATTGACACTACCACACTATGAAGTCAGAAAGATGATCCATATTGCTGTTTAAATATAGAACCATTAAAATAGGAATAGCCACTTTCACCTGTCAGACTTAACAAAGACACACACCAAAATGTGCAAAGCCTAGAAGCCATGAAGATGCAGGAAGAGGCTACACTTGTAGCAAGAATATACTCACTTGCCATCTTTTGGAAGTTTTGTTAATATTTTTCAATCTTTCAAATGCATATGATCCTTTACCTAGTAATAGTTTCTTTCTTAAACACTGACTGTAGAATCTCATGTGACCAACAATATATGCTTACAATTTTTTGTGTGCACATTTTTGCAGTAAGAAACAACTGGAAGCTGGACCCAGTGGCTCACACCTGTAATCCTAGCTACTCAGAAGGCTGAGATCTGACTATTGGAGTTCCAAGCCAGCCTGGGCAAGAAAGCCCCTGAGACTCTTATCTCCAACAAACTATCAAGAAAAAGTCAGAACAAAGTGGCTCTGTAGTTCAAGTGGTAGAACACTAGCCTTGAGCACAAAGAGGCTCAGGGAGAGTGTCCAGGCCCTGAGTTCAAGCCCTGGGTCTGGCAGAAAGAAAAAGAGAGAGAGAGAGAAAGAAAGAAAGAGAGAGAGGAGAGAGAAAGAGAAAGAGAGAAAGAGAGAGAGAAAAAAGAGAAAGAAAGAAAGAGAGAGAAAAGAGAAAGAGAGAGAAGGAAGGAAGGAAGGAAGGAAGGAAGGAAGGAAGGAAGGAAGAAAGGAAGGAAAGACGAACAAGAGAGAAAGAGAGAAGCAAGCAAGCAAGCAACTAGAAACGGTCTAAATGTTAATAAATGGACTGTTTAATTATGGTGTGCATATTGACAGGATGAAAAACTGTGCAGCAGCTGATTTTTTTAAAGAGCAATCAGCATATGGTGATATGAAATAATCTCCAAGACAAGAGAGAACTCAAAAAATAAAGTGAAAGTCAATCAGAGAAGCTGACTTGAGCCTGCGTTTCCTTTAGAAGACCGCACTCGCTGTGGCCTGGGGAGCGAGGGCAGGGGGCTGGAGGGTCGGCACACAGGAGCCTTTCTTTCCATGCGGTTTCCCTTTGTAATTAGCTGATCATTCAGTGGGGCAATTTCAAGCCCATTTCGCGGAGACTGAAGCGCTCCTAACTCTGAAGGCTGACCCACCACCAGCTCCCAGCCCCACGGCCGGCCGCTGGCCGGGCGCCCTACTCACCCTTCTGGGCTGCCCACCGAGCGCAGGCGCCCGGGACAGCTGGGCAGCGGGAGCCCCCGCAGCCGCTGCGCGCCCCTGCGGAGCATGGCGAGCCGGAGGCCAGGCTGAAGGCACCTTGTCCGCGCGGGCACCTGCTGCGACGCCCCGGGAAGCCTGCGGCACTGACCCCGCGCCTCCGCGGTCAGACCCTCTCCCCACCCCCAGCAAGGGGCGGGACCCTGGACACCAGAGTGCCCGGGGATCTGCGCCCTCAGAACCACGGCACCGTGACAGCAGCCGGAAGCCCCCGCGCCAAGGTGAGTTTCCTTTGCGAATCTCTGATCGCTGCTCTCTGAGCCGCTCAAGTTCAGATCCACCTGGCCAAACCCTGAGTCCTTAGCAAGGTGGGGGTGAGAACGGGCTCTCGGAGCCTCGGTTTATCCAGTCATGAGGAGGTTAACGTGCATGGAGCCCTTACTCAGTGCCAAGCACCACACAGGGTACTTTTGGGGTTAGGAAATAGAAACACAGTCAGGCGACCCGCTCAGGGTCACTGATCTGGTGGTGGAAGAACTTCCCGGCTCACGCTGGAACCCCCGTGCAACCCCCATGGTTCTCCACCTTGCACCCCTGCTGGTCCCAAGTTTCTCTCTCCTTTTGGTAAAAGTGGTAGCCAGGCTCTGGGAGTCCCTGGCTGGTCTGTAATCAGCAAGAACACCCCCTCTCCCAAGTCTCAGGAGTGGTGGGTGCTGGGTCTCTCTGCCTTCATCACCAGTCAGTTATCAACTCCTGGTCCCCCGTGTTGGGATTGTGGGGGAGGGGATCGTGGATAACTAAGCAAAATTAGAAATGAACCTGAAGCAAGAACACCCCAGCACCTCTCAAAGCAATCCACCTGAGCCTCATAATCCAGAACGGGGGAGTGGTGATATATAGGCATAGAGACATGAACCACTGGCTTATTAACACTACAAAGAGAAATAGTCAAGGTGCAAGTAATAAAGAACTTTAAATAAAATAAATTTCCATCAATTAGTAGGCAGCCATGAAGACAACTGAGAGCAGGTGAGGCATTCTGGCAATGTTAGCAAAGATGAAATGTGTCTGTCACTGACCCAAGCTATACAAAACCCTGAGAGACACAATAAAGATAACAGTTATATGAGATGCGAACTATAGGTGTTTTTTTTAAGTCTTCAGATATGTTCTCTTGATTATAAGTAACAATGTGGAATTCGCATAAAATAAGGTTACTAAGAAAATAGGAGACAGTGCTGACTTCTTTTACTAAATCTTACTAATCCTATGGGTGTTTTTTTACACTTCTTTTTAATAGTCCATTTTTCCTTAAAGGTTTGAAAATTGCTCTGTCCCTGTTCAGTTCTTTTGAGGATTCCGCTCTTTCAACAGAAAGATTGTCACATGCTGCTCCATATTAATGTGTACCTACTGATTTAGAGGGCACTGGGAAGGAACTAATCTCACCCCTCTCCCAGCTATCAGGTACATGTTGTTAGGAATCCATGTAGTTGCCATAAACAACACCTCCAGAGCACATGGGGGCTAGTTTGGGCAGACACAGCTTCCTATCTATCACAGGCTGAAGCTATTCTCTGAGCATGTGCACACTTGCTCTGAAAACAGATCTTAAACCTGGACATCGTTATCCTAGGTGTTGAAATCTGCAAACAGAAGGTGTAAATGAACCCCAGAGCTCATGGTCAGATACAAAGCAGGTTCACTGCTGAACAGGAGAGGGATGGAATGAAAATAGTACTAATTAGTACAAGCACTCTGGAAGGTGGCTTGGAGATTACCCCCCCCCACACACACACCACCAAAAAAACTAAACACAGAACTTCCCTATAATCCATCAATACTACTCTTGGGCATCTACCCAGAATATTACAAGTCAGAATACAATAAAGCCACCCGCATATCCATGTTCATTGTTGCAGTATTCACGATAGTCAAGCTACAGAAACTGCCCAGATGCCCTATAATAGATAAATGGATCAAGAAAATGTAGTTGATAGATGGAATTTTACATAATGAAATTTTGATATAATAGAATTTTACTTATCTATCAGAAAGAATATTATGATTTCGCAGGGAAATGGATGAACCTAAAAAATTCTGTTAAGTGAGATGTAGAGAGACAAATGATGCATATTTTCTCTCATATTTGGAAGTTAGATCTAAATATAAATATGTATGAAAACACATACTGAGTTATATAACACAAATTGACTAAAACATAGTCCTATTAGGGGAGGATTCCAATGGTATAAGTCCTCTGAGCAACTACCAAACAGTTTCACAAAGTACCTGGAAGCTAAAATATGCTTTTGTCAGGCAGGGAAAAGCAAGGGAATGGGGGCAGATCAAAGAGAGGAAGGTTGGCAAATGCAGTTATTATATTCAATGTACACATATGAAAATGGAACCATATAACTTGAAAGTATAGATGGGATTGGAAAAGATGAAGAATGATGGAAGAGGTGACATTGTTCTAGATGCATTGTACTAATAATCTGTCTGGTTGAAACTCCTTTGTACAACTACTTAATTTTTTAAGAAAGAAAACTGCAATAAAAGAAAAAGCAACATACTACAAGTTAAACCACAGCACTCTCTTATACATGTTCTGAAGCTGTCATTAGCACACCCAATGCAGTAATCCACTAAGTGGGAATATAACAGGAAGGGAGGGGTAAAGGCTGCTCCAAATTCAAATCTTTGTAAATGAGATATTTTTTGCTGTGAAACAAAATGATGACTTTAAAATGTTGGATAAACTTCCAGATAAAAAATAAAAATGTCTCAAATTTTGCTTGATATCATGAAGGATATTCTTAAATCTCTGGCTAATTTTCTGTGGAAGTATGCAGTGTTTTTTTTGTGTGTGTTTTTTTTACCTTCCTTCTCTTTTTCTTCTTCAGGATGAAAATTCTAGCATATGGGACACACGTGATATTTTCAAACAGTCCTGTCTCTCTGCTAAACTACTGAGGTAGTGTAGTTATGATCTGCCTTTGGTCAGGTGCTAGAAGAGGTGGTAGGGATAGAGACAAATATGACAATCAAATCAAGAGCCAGGTACTTAACCAGATACTGTGGCACAAGTGGATTCAGGGATGAAGATACCAAAGTCAAGCAAGGTGCAAAGGAGCTTTGATCCCAAACAGAGACAGTCAGGCAAGGTAGGCTCTGGCTGCTTTGGGAGATCATTCAGGGCAGAACTCAGTAGACTTATGACCATTTCAGTAACCCAATGGCGAAAAATGTTTAATTGATACACCTCATGTAACCCTGAGGACTGGACACTATAGCAATGCTTTTCTCTCTAGAATTATCCAATGTGCCAATCTGATTCTTAGTTGAAACAATATAAGGTTTGCTTTTCTTAACAAGAGGTCTAGCAGTGGGCCATCATGGGTGCTGAGATCACTATGGGATATCCATAAGAAATCAAGCTCTTGTGTGGCTTAATCTGTAATCCTAGCATCTCAGGAGGCTGAGATCTAGCGGATCACAGTTCAAAGTCAGCCTGAGTGGAAAAATCCATGAGACACCATCTCTGAAATAAATAGCAATAAGCTAGCCTAGAAGCATGGCTCAAGTGATTGAGCAAAAGCCATGAACAAGGAAGCTGAGAAAGTGTAAGACTATGAGTTCAATTCCCAATATTGACAAAAAGAAGACAGAAAAGAAAGAAAAGGAGAGGAGAGGAATGAGGCTCTTTACCAATTGATTTCTCGCATGTGGCTTTTAGTGGCATGACAGAAAGATGGTTGCTATACCACCAGGCATTATATTGATGTTTGGTCAAGAAGAGTAAAAGGGACAAGAAGAAAGGGAGTAGGCATCTGTATCAGGAAAACAAAACTTTTCCCCAAATCCTCAGCCTATTTTCACCAATGTCTCATTAGCCAATGCTGTAATACATGGCCAGGCTCAGCTGCAAGGGAGCGTGGGAGTTGTTTTCGTTTTTTAAGTTGAAGACATTGTCTTCCCCAACAAAACACATCAGCAAAGAAATGAGAATGTGTATTAGTGGGACCACCAAACCAGGTCATCACAAACAAATTGACAGAACAAATAAAGATCAGGGAATCAGCTTTTCAACTATAATTTGGCCCAGAGAAGCATGTTAATTAAGAAGAAATAGCCTCAGCTCTTTTGACTACACAAAATAGGTACTTGGCTTAGCCAGGAAAGACAGCATGCACAATCTCTCAAACACAATTAGACACAACTGTAATAAGATCAGAGCCCTAAAAGTATAACACCACTTTCCTAAAATTAGAAATTGCTTTTAAAGAATCATTAAAAACAGGTGGGATGGGGTGAGGAGAGCTTAGATGATTTTCCTTTGTCTTCTCCAGGGTATTTTGGAGCATCTGGACAATGGGGGGGCTGTGGTTGGGGGTGATAGCTTTCTATTCACTCTAGAGAAGAGCACTTATGTGAAGGTGAGGTCTGGACTCCAAAAGCTGTGGTGGAGCATCCAGATGCAGGCTGGTGCCCAAATCACCCAAGACTCAATGTGTGTTTAAGTAACATTTTGCTTAAATCAAGGAATTAAAGCAGGAAGCTGGTGGCTTAAGCCTGTAATCCTAGCTACTCAGGAGGCTGAGATCTGAGGATGGAAATTTGAAGCCAGCCTGAGGAAGCAAAACCTATGAGACTCTTATTTCCCAATTAGCCAGAAAACTGGAAGTGGAGTTGCGGCTCAAAATAGTAGATAGAGTGCTTTAGCAAATGAGCTCAGAGACTAGAAAAAATAGGACTGTGCTACTAGAAAAGTTATCAAGATACGGAGAGTATATGTTGGAAAAAAAGGACTTTCTCTTTCTCTCTCTCTCTCTCTCCCTCTCCTTCTTTCTGCCTTTTCTCTGCCTTTTCCCTATTCTCTTTTCTTCTTTCTCTATCTCCCCTCTTTCTCTCCCCTCTCTCTCCCTCTTACCCTCTTTCTCTTGCTCACTCATACACACATGTATCTTCTTGTATAAGTATTGTTAAAATAATACATTTAGACTTTATTCCATGAATACTTACCTTGTTGATATTCAAGTGTTTCCTTAAAATAGCAAAACTTGTTACTGCTTTCATTTTATCCTGCCTACTGGAGCACATTCTGTAACAGTGGTAAGGTAACTTACTACAGTGATTAATGACTGTCACCAACCTAAAAGCACAGATGGCATGTTCTAGGGATGAGATTCAAAGAAATGAACAGTTTTGCATCATCCTCCTGGCTGGAAAATAAAAAGAAATGAAGGAAGAAACTGGCATGGGATGGGTTGGTAAGATCAAATTGGAACTTTAAGTCTATTCTTTGCTCTGCATTCCTAAATTAAAGTAGAAAAATAAAGCCAAAGAATGACATGAGCTGGGAATGTAATTTTGAGTCCCTCTGATTTTATTCATACGAGCATCCCATATCAGACAA